GGAGCATCTCCAAAAGCAGCTAACCCGAGTTGCCGTGACTAACAGAGTGAGCTCGCTTCGCTGACGGCACGTCTGGGACCTTGAGGGCTGCTCGTCCCAAACAGGCGGTGGGGTCTGCGGGCAGTGGGAGCGCCCCAGGCTTGGCCCCAACCCAGCCGGGCTCTGCCAGGGGTGGGCGAGCCTGCGGTGGGAGCACAGCCCGTCCCTTACGCCCTGCACGGCCGGGAGCTGTCTCGGCTCTCAGGAGCGTTCCCTGCGTAGGGGCTCGTTGCTGCTCCGCAGGACCAGAGGTGACAAAAGCAAGAAGGAGCCCTTAAGTACCCACAGGCCTTGGGAATGTCTCGTTTGGTGTTGGTCGGCCAAGACCAGGAGATGGCTATGTGGGTGGAGGCCTCAAGTCATCTAGCTCTGCCCTCCTCCATTCCTACCCAGTCATCTTCTCTGTCTTCTCCTCCGCTTGTGTGCCTCTGTGTGTGTGTGTGTGTGCGCGCAATCAATCCAGGTTTCTGCTTGGTTTGAAGCCTTAATCACCTGGTGCTTTCGTTTGTTTGCTCTCTCCTCCTCCTCCCCAACATCTCTCTGACCGGAATGCAGCCGCTGGCACGTGTGTGATCTGACGTGTGGCTTTCGGACCCCAGCCCTCCTCCCAGACAAAGTTGCTTGTCCGCCCTGCCCAGCCTTTTGGGAGCCAAATAGATGTGACCTTCATCTCGTTACTGCTGCTCTCAAAGAGAGAGGTGACTAATGGGGCTCCATTGTGTGCTTCCCCATGAATGGTGTTCCCTTGATCCAAGAATAGCTCCCAGCGCTATTAGTTATGTGGAGATGAGTCACACAAAGCCAGTCCTGTCCAGCCGTAAAGTCTTGAAGCTGTTCCCAATTTGGAGTCGATCTGACTGTCCCTGAAAGGGCCAGGCGCTCCCCGGAGTGGTCTTGTTGCAACCTGGCTCTGCGTTGAGCCGTGCGCCATCACCGTGGGCCTGGCTGCCTGTCCCCTTCCTGGCACTTGTAGGACAGACACAACCACGGCAGCTCCTCCTCACCCCGTGAGTTCAGGATCCACCACCAGATAAGACTCCTGAGCAGGAAAAGGCGTTGGTTTTATTTTCCACTTTCTTCCCAGCCAGTGGAAACCAAGATGGGCCAACCATGGGGCAGCTGCCCAGCAGGAAGGGCAGGTCCTTGGGCTCCACCGACCACCCGCTCCCTGTCCCGTTGGTGGGAGCAGGTCCCTTTGCCATCGCTGGGGACCGTGCAGGGCTGGCCGCTCGTTCGGCTGGGCTGGCTGGCCTTGGTGTGCTTTTGCAGGGTGAGATGACATCTGGGAGGATGGCTCCGGCCGTGTGCTGTGCACCAGCCTTCGGGCAGCCTTGCTCCGAGACCTTCTGACCGTGTGTTTGGTTTTCAGGGCCGCCCTGGCCTCTGCCCACCAGTGCCACCCCCTTCCTCAGACCCTCAGCGTGCTGAAGAGCACCCCTCAGGTGAGGGGCATGCACACCATCATCAGGTAAAGCCCCCGCCGCCGCGGCCTCCTGGGGTGGGCTGGGGCTTGGCTGTCAGCTGCCGTGGGCTCAGCTCGCTTTGGACTCCCAAATCCCACTGGCACCCTGTCCTTGCGGCTTAGGGACATGGGACAGGGCAGGCAGTGGGGGACCCTGCGTTGAAGAGCTGTGCTGTGAGCGCTCTGTGGTTTTCCCAATAATTTTTCTGCTTTTTACCTTCTAACTGCCACCGCAATTCCAGCCTCAGCCGGTGGGCCCCGTGCAACCGAGTCGCTGACAGCCAGAGCGGGGCAGGGGCCGCCTTCCTCCGCGCAGCCTCTGCCCTCTGTCAGCAGCTCCCGGGGCACATTTTGGTCCGCAGCTCACCTTGGCTTTCCCTCCCCTCCAGAAACAAGGAGACCAGCAGAGACGAGTTCATTTTCTACTCCAAGAGGCTGATGCGGTTGCTGATTGAGCACGCCCTCTCCTTGCTCCCATTCCAGGTGGGTTCAGGGCTGGAGCTGGGAGGGTGGGCGGCAGGCGCTGTCTTTCCTCTCCGATTCCTAACCCTTCACTGCCAGAGAGATGGGACAGTCCTGGTGCTGCTCCTCCAACCTTCCCCATGTATCAGCCCTTCCCTCCTAGATGTTAAAAAGGGCTCCCCAGGCCCTGGAGCAGTGGTGTGGCCCTGGGTGACAACTCTCTGTCCAGCCTCGGTTCCCAAGGGTCCAGACCAGCCTGCAGCTGGCTGGCTCCCCGGTACCGGGGCTCCTCCAAGAGCCCCATCAGAGCCTCTGGTAATGCTTCTCATGTGGTTTTTGTAGAGTTGCACAGTCCAGACCCCTCAGGGACAGGACTACGAAGGGAGGACGTACAGCGGGAAGCAAGTAAGTGGAAGCGAAAGGATCCTACTACTCAACCCTGCCCCGTGGGGCTACACTGGAAGCCCTGTGGATGCAAGGGAAGGACACCCCTGGCTTCTCGGGGCTTCCATCAGGCCTGGGTTTGGTGCCTGCTGTCATGAGCATGATACAACACGTATCATCGGGACAGGCGGCAGGTCGGTGGCCATCAGGAATGTCCCTGTGCCACTGTTGCCCTCCCGTTGAGGGAGGCAGCCTGGACTGGGAGCGGCACAACCCTCTTGGAAGGAGGGGGTTGCTCATTAGAGTCCGCCCCATGCCGTACTGGGGCGGTGGCAGCTCCTACACCGTGCCTTCCCGTTCCCCCCTCGCTGCGTGCGGCAGATCACCGGTGTGTCCATCCTGCGAGCAGGCGAGACCATGGAGCCGGCGCTGCGAGCGGTGTGCAAGGACGTCCGCATCGGGACCATCCTCATCCTATCCAGACCAACTGCAACACTGGCGAGCCGGAGGTAAAACCGGGGCGGGGGGTGCCTTGGGCTGCCGAGGGCATCTCCTGGCGTTAGCCTGCATGTCGGGGGTGACTCGGGTATTTCCTGAGAGCTCTTCAGCCGCCCGAGAGTCGGTCTCGGCAGGGGGGTGAGTGCTCTGAAAGCTTCTCAAGTGGGCTTTGCCAGCGTGCTGGTGCACGCAGGGGCCGGTTTGCTGCCCGAGTGTTTGCACCAGCGCCTGGCTCCAGGCTGGCAGCTGGCGTCCCAGAGGTAGAGACGCGCGGAAGATCCCTCCCCCGCCTCAGAAAAGAGCTCGGGATGCTCCCTTCGCCTTCAGCCTGCGATCTCTAAGGTGATCTCTCTTCCCGCCCTTGCCCAGCTCCACTACCTGCGGCTGCCGAAGGACATCAGCGAAGACCACGTCATCCTGATGGACTGCACGGTCTCCACGGGCGCAGCAGCCATGATGGCAGTGCGGGTGCTGCTGGTACGGAGGATGGGTGCTGCACGGAGGGCGGGCGGTTCGCTCCCGAAGGACGCGCCGCAGCCGTGTGGAGGGGCTTTGCGCTGAGACCGGCTCCTCCTTGCGAAGGAGGGTGTCGTGGGAGAGAGCACAAGACAAAGTCACCCCTTCCTTGGGTCGTAACAGCCTGGGTTTAGTTGGCTTTTTGGTCCTGTGCCCGGTAACCCGAGGTGGCCACAGAGAGGGGAGGATTAAAACCGGCTGCGGGAAGGCCCTGGGTTGCTTAGAGAGCTGCTCCCTGGAGGCATGGGCCATAACATGCCGTAGGTGCCCTTACCCCGAGCTGTCTCTCCGCCTTTCCTGTAGGATCATGATGTCCCAGAAGACAAGATCTTCCTCCTCTCCCTGCTTATGGCGGAGATGGGCGTCCACTCAGTCGCCTACGCTTTCCCCCGCGTGAAGATCATCACCACGGCTGTGGACAAGAAGGTGAATGATCTCTTCCGGATAATCCCTGGCATCGGTGAGTATCTGGGTAGGCATGAACTTGAGGATTTTTGGTGCTTCTGGCCCACTCGCCGGAGGAGGTGGAGCCCTGGTTGTCTGGCCTTACTTTACCCAGACACCCACTGGCTTTCCTGGGTCCCGCTGCCCCGTGGGCGCTGGGGTCGCGCTCTGAGCGCTGTCGGGCAGCCGTAGCCTCGTCGGCAGCAGGAGCCGTTCCACGTGCCGTGAGCCTCCTCCGGCCCCAGATGGAGAAGCTGGGCTGGGACAGCTGGAGCAGACCTGTGCCCGCCTCATGCCCTAAGGTGCCACCTTAAACGAGCTCATCCAAAACAAGCTCACGGTGTTCTTCTGTCCTCACCCCCGCTGGGCCAGGAAACACCCCAGCCACCGGGTGCTAAAACAGCCTCCAGGCTGCTCCAGTTTTGCTGCCACACGAGTTTTCGGTGCTATTTGAGCTGTCGGATAAACCTGGTTTTGTTTCCTTGTCTGCTGGGGCGAGGGCAGGCTGGAGGACGGGTCCTAGAGCTCCCTGCAGAGCTGCACCATGACTGCCTCTCTCTTTCTCTCCCCGCAGGGAACTTCGGCGATCGGTACTTCGGGACGGATGCTCCTCCTGACTGGAGCGACGATGAAGATGCTCTTAGCACTTAGCTGGATGTGGGTATGCCACTGGCAACAGGCAGCTTCAGCACCGCACCTTAACCCCTCTGTCCATCGCAGATTTCTCCTTCCTCCTCACCAAGCATAGATATTTTTTTCAAATCTTACATTGGAGATCTAAGGCATATTTTTTCAAAGAAACACAAATCCTAGTTTGACTTTGTGGACAGTCGCGTGTCCCAGCATAGAGCGGAGTTAATTTATTTTAATTTAAATATTTGCCTATATAACTTATTGGAGATATTTTATAAAGGAAAATAATAAATTTTTTCTCTGGTTTTCTTGAATGGAGCCATTCTTTGTCGCTTCCCATGGGTGCCCAGAAGGATTTGCAACCCTTCGGGACTGCTGCCCTGGGAGGGGAGATGCCGCGAGCGGCGGTGGGAGGTCGAGACCCTGCTGTGGAGGAGCAGGCTGACCCTGCAGCCGTGGAGCGGTTCTTAGGGCTCTGTCTTCGTGCTGGTTAAGTGGTTGTTGTTTCTCTTTGGTGAATACTGAAGCCCTCAGACCCCAGGGAGAGCCTGTGCTACAGGACGTGCCTGCTCTGTCTGGTGCTGCCGAGGCAGGGAGGAAGCCTTCACCTCACGGGAGCTGGGAGGGACAGAGACCACCCTGCCAGGACAGGATAACCCCCCTCAGACCGAGGTCTCCCGCCTGCAGCAGGGCTGTGAGCAGGAGAAAAACCCACCATTCCCATTCCCCAGCTCCCTCCTCTTGCTGCCGTGCACCGGGGGGAGGAAATACCATGCTCTAGATCCAAGGGTTGGTACAGAGGAGAGACAGTTCTTCATGCCTGCGAGGGAGCTGAGGTTCAGCTCGGGTCACGTCACG